CAAGAGGCGGAAGCAAGCTAAGGTCCAGGAGGGACGGATGAATAAACACCCCGTGGTGTGTGCATATGGTCTACACACACAGTGGAACGTTATTCAACCTTAAAAAAGGTTCCAGTCAAAGGCGGCAGCACAGATAAACCTGAAGAACGTTATGCCGAGCGAATCAGCCAGTCACCGAAGGACACGTACTGCGTGAGTCCACGGATGTGAGCGACCTCAAGTCAGCAAAGTCCTAGAAGCAGAAAGCAACATGGCAGCTGAGGGGCTGGGGGCTGGGGAGATGGGAGTACAGAATCTTAGGATGAGAAAGTTCTAGAGATGTGTGGTACATCAATGTGCAGGTAATTAGCACTACTGCATTATACACTTAAAAAATAAGAAGGTAAATTTGTGCCATGTTTTCTAGCATGCACACACACACACACACACATGCACGCACGAGGAGTCCTGGTTCAAAGGTTCCCGGGGCTGGGCACTAGCTCGTACCTTCCGCTCTCCCTGCTTCTTTGCTTCAGTGCCTGGCGGGTCTTGTTCTGGCATCTCTGCGAGCCCCGTTGGGCAGCCCTCCTTGGCTGGGCCTCCCTTGCTCATGGGGCTGCTTCTGATTTGCAGAACTGGGCTCCACCTGGGGACCACGGCCCTCCCTCGCCCAAGCAGGTAGGAGCTGGCACCGGAGCCCTGCGCTCCCACCACCCACCCCGCCACACCCGCCCAAACCCGGGAAGGAAGTCCTGCATGCTTCATTTCTCTCTCTCCCCCACACCGGCTGCCTCGTGGGAAGAGGCTTCTTGGGCCACCTGCGCCGCCACCTGTGCCAGCCAAGGCCCTACCTTGCTGGGAGGTTTCTCCGTGTTTGCCCCGACAAAGATGCTCTCACTGATCAAATTCTACTACGGCTTCCATGAACTGGGTTTCAACTATGGTGGCTTGGGGCACTGCTGTTGTCTCTGCATTGTCCAATTTCAGGAAGAATCCTCCTTAACCAGTTTATCCAGCATACCCTCCACCCCCCACACTCAGTATCTGATCACCTTCTGGAACACATCCTCTTCCCCATCCCCAGATGAGGTCTGATCACCCCGGCTGGCTCTCCCTCCCCCTGATGTTTCCTCTCCATGATTTCCATCCACTGCCCGACCCTGCTCCTTGGCTACGAATCCCCACTTGCCCGTGCTGTTCGGGAGTGGAGCCCAGTCTATCCCACTGAAGGACCCCACAGTGGTCTCTACAGGCCCCTCCAGTGAATAAATCTGCCTTCCTCTTCAACAAGGGTCATGACTATTTTCTTTCCTTAATAGCGCTCATGTGGGTTTCAAAGCTCGACAGGTCGCTGACTCTGCAATCAGCCTCCTCATTGCTTGGTGAGGGGAGTGGTCTTTTGTACAGAGGGGAGTGAGGAGACAGCCAGCAGGACCGCTGTGGACCGAATGCAAATCAGATTGCAGGACACCCCTTCCCCAAATGCTCTATGTCTCCCTATTGCCCTTGGCAGAAAGTTCAAACTTCCTTCCTCAGTTTACCAGGACCCATTTGCCCTTTGGCACTCTCCCATTTCCGACTCCTTGTCCAGGCCTTCAGAACGGCCTGCAGCTCCCAGACCCTCTCTCTTGAGCTTTTTCCCCTGCCCTTGTCAAGTGCTGCTTTCCACCGGGGTGGCAGATTCCTACTTACTTAAGTCTTAGTAGAAATGGAGCCTTTATCATGAAGCTAACAGAGCTTAAGCTTCTGGGTCTGTGCTCAAGCCTTCAAACCTGATTTTGTAACCTAGTATTCCTCCTCCTCCTCTTCATCTCCTTCTTTTTTTTTTTTTTTCCTTTTTAAGATTTTGTTTATTTATTTGACAGAGAGAGAGAGCAGGAGAGCATAGGCAGGGGAGCAGCAGAGGCAGAGGGATAAGCAGGCTCCCTGCCCAGGGAGCCCCATGTGGGGCTCTATCCCAGGACCCTGGGACCACGACCAGAGCCAAGCCTTTGCCTCACAAAATCTGAATCTACTTTTGAGTGTCAGTGTAGACAATCTGATCTCCTGAACTCATTAAGAAGGGGATCTTAACCTCTGATATGTGCTGCCCACCGATCCCACACCCTGGGGACAGCCCTGACAGTACTCCCCTGTGGGCCTCTGGACTCAACAGTCTCTTCCCTGAAACTCAGAGAGAAAAGTTATTTTATCTTTGCCCCTCGTGTGCCGAGATTCAAGTGCATAGTAGGTAGTCAGTAAAAATGTGACTGTATGATGCACTGTGTATACTGATTTGGGGAAACGGTGCTTTTTAATGTCTCTCGAGGTATTCCATAAAATCTCTGATGTGAATGAAGGAGTGAGCACGATCCAGGAAGGTTGTTCCAAACACTGCCCCGGCGCTGTGTCTTCCTGATTCTCTCCCACTTCTTCGAGCTTGACGCATTTGTGGCAACTTCACCAAATCAACACAGCTTTCTCATCTGCCCGACCACCTAAGGATCTCTCTGAAGCAGGACGTTTTTATTAAAGAGCAAACAAAACAGAAACAAAAGATCTAGCATCTCTTCAAACTTAAGAGCTTGCCAGTGTGTCCATTTTTCTTCCTCTGACAATTCATTATATTATACAATTTACTTTTCTTCCCTTTTCTTACTGAAATCTCAAGTTAGAGGTGTTGGACACTCGTGTACTCCTGACCTTGGCTCTTGCCCAGGTGCAGCCCTGGGAAGGCAGGTCCCCTCTTGGTGCCCTTTCTGTGCTCTTGGATTCTTGGATGACGTGGTGGTTGAGAACAGGCTCTGAAGTCGGTCTTCCTGAGTTCAAATCGCAGCTCTTCTATTTATGGGTGGTGTTCTGTGAACTTGACCCGGTGATTTGAGCCAGACTCTGAACAACCAATTGTTGAACTTTCAGGAACTTTGCAAACCTGTGGATGATTTTGAACTTGGCGTTGACAGGAGTAGCTACGCCATGGAAACTGGCAAATGCCAGTTCCCTGACCATTCCCTGACCTGGTTGTTGCCTTAAACCAGCATGTCACTGCTTCTTCTTTATCTATAGGGTAGGAGTAATAATAGTGCATATCTCACGGAGGATTTGGGGAAGTTACCTTAAGTGTGCTTACTTGTGCATGCCGAGTACTCAGTAATTGTGAGCTATTCTGGGTGATTCTCCCATTTCACATGGTCTAAAGTCTTTCTGCTTCATGTGTCCCTTTCTGCCATAACTTTAAACACTGGATCTGCCAGATCCAGCACATATATGGATAATAAAAATTTTAAAAATCCCTTAGACTAATTAGGACCTTAAAACAACTAGCTCGGGACACTTGGGTGGCTCAGTTGGTTAAGGATCTGCCTTCAGCTCAGGTCATGATCCCAGGGCCCTGGGATGGAGCCCCGCATCAGGCTCTGCTCAGTGGGGAGTCTGCTTCTCCCTCTGTCTGTCACTCCTCCTACTTGTGCTCTCTCTCTCTCTGACAAATAAATAAATAAAATATATTTAAAAAAAAAAACCAAAACAAAACAAAACAACTAGCTCGTAATTGATAGGAAATGTGTGGTCTGATGTTGTTTATGAGGCAGACGGTGATGGGATGACACATATATTATAAAAGTAGAATTCTTCTAAATTTAGCACTGATTATTTTGGCTACACACATTTCGCTTGGCTAGAGATTAGGAAGAATTCCTCTTCCAGAAGGTCTACTCTTTGTCTCCTAGTTTTAGGCAAAGACTGTAAATATAGTTTATTACAGCACGTGGTAACTCAGTAAGCAAACATGTTCTAAAAATCTTAAATAGCTGTGTTGAAGTAAAACATGCTAAAAATTCACACGAATGACATGCAAGTTAATAAAGACTTTGGCGAGGGGTGCCTGGTTGGCTCTGTCAGTGGAGCACGTTACTCTTGATCTCAGGGTTGTGAGTTCGAGCTCCACGTTGGATGTTGAAATTACTTAGAAATAAGACCTTAAAAAAAAATAAACAGACTTTGGTGAGTAAATAGACACTCAGCAATATACTGTTGTTATCTGAGCGCTAAAAATATCATACAGAGAGACTTCTGAGGAAAATGTCAGAGTGGGAGGATCCTTAGCTCACCTGGTCTTGCAGATTCAAGCAGAAAACACCCACGTCCGTGCACGTGAAGTCTGACCCCATAGACCTAAAACACGGTGGCGGGAGCAGTAAGGAATGGCTTCAGACCTAAGTGACCGTCAACTTAACATAGACAGCTATATGCAGATGTTACATATAAACCTACTAGTAAGCAAAATCGAAAACCAATAACAGATATGTGAAAAATAAAGGAATCCCAAGTATATCACTAAAGAAAGCCAGAAAACCACGACAGAAGAAAGCTGGAGAAGAAAGGAACAGAAAACCACAGCAAAAGAGGGGCACCTGGGTAGCTCAGTTGGTTAAGTGTCTGCCTTCAGCTCAGGTCATGATCTCAGGGTCCTGGGATCGAACCCTGCATTAGGCTCTCTGCTCAGTGGGGAGTCTGTTTCTCCCTCTGGGCTCTCTCTCTCAAATAAATAAATAAAAATCCTAAAAAAAAAAAAAAAGAAGAACTGCAAAAGAACCATAAAACAACCAAAATGGCAATAAGTACATACATATCAATAATTACTTTGAATGTAATGGAATGGACTAAACACTCCAGTCAAAACACATAGGGTTCCAAATGGATAAAAAAGCAAGACCCATCTACACGCTGCCCGCATGAGACTCATTTCGGACCTAAAGATGCATGCAGATTGAAAGGAAGAGATGGAAAAGCATTTCTCATGCAAATGGAAGTGAAAAGGAAGCCAGGATAACAATACTTACATTGGACAAAATAGATTTTAAAACAGAGACCATAATAAGAGATGAAGAAGGACACCATGTAATCGTAAAGGGAACAATCCAACAAGAAGATATAACAATTGTAAACATTTATGCATCCAACAAGAGAGCACCCAGATACATAAACAACAGAAAACAAACATAAAGAAATTAAATTAACTGATACTAATTCAATAACAATAAGAGACTTCAACATGTCAGTTACATCAGTGGACAGATGATCTAAAGAGAAAATCCACAAAGAAACAGTGGCTTTGAATGCCTGGTTGGACCAGATGGATCTAACAGATATATTCAGAACATTCCATCCTAAAACAGCAGAATAAATATTCTTTTCAAGTGCACATTGAACATTCTCCAGAATAGATTACATATTAGGCCCCATTACTGGCTATTTACCCAAAAACCACAAAACACTAATTTGGGGGTGCCTGGGTGGCTCAGTCAGTTAAGTGTCTGCCTTTGGCCTAGGTCATGGTCCCAGGATCCTGGGATCGAGCCCCACGTCAGGCTCCCTGCTTGCTCAGTGGGAGTCTGTTTCTTCTCTCCTCTTATACTCTCTCTCTCTCTCTCTTGCTGTCACTATCTCTCTCTCTCACATAAATAAAATCTAAAAAAAAAAAACAACCCAACTAATTCGAAAAGATACACGCACCCCTATGTTTACTGCAGCACTATAGAAGCAGCCCACGTGTCCACTGATGGATGCATGGAGGATGAAGACGTAGTCTATGTACAATGGACTGTTAACTATACCAAGAACGAAATCTTGTCATCGGTAACGACATGACTGGAGCTAGAGATTATGATGCCAAGTGAAAGAAGTCAGTCAGAGAAAGACAAATACCATAGGATTTCACTCATATGTGGAGTTTAAGAAATAAAACAAACAAATGACAACACAAAAGGAGACCAACCAAAAAACAGACTCTAAACTATAGAGAACAGACAGTTACCAGAGGGAGATGGCTGGGGGATGAGGGAAACAGGTGATGGGGATTAAGATTACACTTGCCATGGTGACTAATGGACGTCCAGTCACTGGCTGATAAGTTTTACCTTCTCTTTATTTCAGTGCATTTTGGTAAATGTCAGTCTTATTTTAAATTCGGAGTCTCTGTCTGGTCTTGTGTCCAAACTGATGGTGAACAGGGTAAATATAGTTTAGTTCCTATTTATCAAGCACGTGTTATACCCCAGGCAGTGTTAAATAGCCATATTACTTCACCGAATGTTCTAGAGTCCCATGTGAAACAGGGGTTGTTACCCCCATTTTACTAGAGGGAGTGAGAGCCCAGTGCAGCGCCAAGCTAGTAAGTGAGAGTCAGGATTTGACCCCGAGTCCCTCTGACTCCAAAGCCATGTTCCTTAGCCCTCTGTTTTTGTTTTGTTTTGCCTTTTTAAAAATTGTGTTACATTGGCCACCATACATTAGTTTTTGACGTAGTGTTCCAAGATTCATTGTTTATGTATAACACCCAGTGCTCCATTTTTTTAATCTCCTAACAGAACTCTTGGCTTGATCCTTATTTGTCTACCAAGTGGGATCCCTCCTTTCCTCCTGTATTGTCCTGTTCTTACATCATTTTAGCTGAAGCAAGATGAGCCATTAGGGGTCTGTACTTCTGCTGTCAGAGACCAGCAAGGGCTAAGCTGAATCAAGTTCCTTAATCAGGAAGCGGGTCTGATAAAAGCAGCATCAGCTACAAAGCACCGACTTTATTGGGGATAATGGTTTCCTTTATTCTGCCCTAGGGATTGGCTTATTCTTAAATTGAGTTGGACGAAGTCTAATCTCACTTAGAAGCAAAAGAGAAAAGAAAGAATAATAAAAAATGTAAAAGCTCCAGGTAAATGATAAGAATTTCGCCAAATAATTTGGAGAAAAGAGTCAGACAATACTTGTGCGCACACCTGGCCATGATAATAATAGGTTGCTTTTCTCACAGGAACACTTGAATACCCCCTACTCCAAACAATGGGCATTGGGAGTGGACAAGGCTGACTCGTGTGACTTCGTGCTCCTGGGACAATGTCTCCTTCCCCGTCTGGCTGTTCTTCCCTTGCTGACCTAGCCATAGCCCAACCCTGACCTTGATCACCCCAATGAAACCAGGTTCCAGGGAGATTTTACAGCACTCAGGTGCTGCATGGTTTTTAAACAGCCACAAAGTGTGACCCTACCATAAAGTCAAGAGTCCGAATCAAGCTTACTGGCCTTTATTTTTTTAATGTGGGGTGGCGGAGACTCCAGGCAGTGGCATGACGTTTAGCTCCTTTGCTTGGTGCCTGGTGGAGGCGAGCACTCCCCAAATAATGGTTTCCCTCCCTCCTTCCTTTCACAGGGTCTTCTGAAGCTTTGTTCAGGGGTTAGTGGCTTATGGAGAATCCCAAGAGAGAAGCACTTGGTGTCGAGAAATGACCAGCAGCATTTGTTGGGATAACACTGAGTGTCTCTCCTGTGCCGGCTGATCTGTTAGGTGCTGAGACTACAGGGGTGAGTAAATGCCCCGCCCTCACGGAGTTTACAGCACAGCTTGGGGGACACATGGGGAAATGAGTGATCACATATACAAATGTAAAATCCCAACAATGACAGGCATTGTAAGTAGAGCTTCACTGCGCAAGAAGAAGCTATAAATACACTTGACTTGGTCAGAGAGGTCAGAGAAGGCACGAGCCCTCAGGGCCATTCAAGTTGAGATCTAAAAAGTAAGTAGACCTGGCGGAAGGAGAGTGAAGAGGGCTAGGCAGAGGGACAGCAGGTGCAAAGGCCCTTTGACAGCAGGGAACAGGCTAGTGAGGCCGGAATAATGGCCGGTGGGGATGAGCACGGGGTTTTGAGGGGGAGTGAGGTGTGCAGGCGAGTCTGGGAATGTGGGGGGGCCAGAGCAGGAAGGGCCTGGAGGCCACCCTGTCAGTGGTGAATCTTTGAAGGTTAGAGTAACATCGGCTCACGGTTAATCACACGTGGGCTTGGAAAATTTTACCGGTTGGTAACTGACTTAGAGCTAACAGAGAATCAAGTGCAAGGGTTTTATCAGAAACTGTGGGATGGCCAGTTCCGACCAGTGGCAGTTGACACTGGCTCACGCATACTTATCTCGGGAGCATTGAGACTGGCAGATGCCCAGCTTCTTGTCCCCCACCGCTGCTCGTGGCTGCGCCTCGGGGGGAAGGCAGAGCGGTGCCGCCCAGGACGTGAAGCCCCTGGGGGCAGGGGAGGGAGCACCGTCCTGGTCCTCCATAAAGGCCACCTGTGACCTGGGATCTGCTCACCTCCGTGAAGAGCTCCATGAAAGGGAAGTGTACACGGAGAGTCTAAACTATCTCCAAGTCCATATTCTTTCCAGGTCAAAATATTTGTTGTTGCTGTTGTTGTCACTATTATTATTGTTTTCATCTCGAATTGAAGTCACCAGAACACAACTCCCCCGACCTTCGGCCTGCTCCCCTCCTGTGGCTCCGACGGAGGGAGGCAGCCGACCATTCGTAGACTCACTGCGGCTTTCCTTTCCGGGGGCTGGAGCTCAGAATCAAATGTGAGACCTGCTGACTCATGTCGCAGGGGTCCCAGCGTGAAGCTACTCTGGGATCAGCCTGGGATTTCATATTCACTCTCTGCAAGGACAGTGGCCACGTAGTAGTGGAGAGCAAAGGAGACAGCACTGCGGGGCCCTCAGAAAAGATCAGAGGCTTGGAAGAGGGCCCCGAGCTCCTGGGGTGGGAGTGCCTTGAAGAAGTCCTGTCTGCCCCCGGGTGCTGGTGGGCTGGGCGGCCAGGAGGCCGGGGCTGCATTCAGAAGCTGCAGCTGGTGCCTTTGCTGTGGTTTCTTCCTTCACAGGTGGTCTGTGGTAATAGGGTTTTGGGGCAGGCCACCCCCTCTGTTCACACCTGATGGCCGGGAGGCAGGAGGGGCTAACAGGAGGTCGTACCTGCCTCATTTACGGAGAGGCTGATCCAAGTGAGAATCCCCGGAGGATTCCTCATGTTTTTCCAAAAGACACGCCCATACCCCGTTCCCGTTTCAGCCTGCATTCTGCTGAAAGCCGGTTCTTTGCGCAGAGAGCTGTGGATTAGAAGCATTTCAAATTCCAGAATGCTGCCAAATACACTTAAGAGTCCTGCTCCATTACTGACGATCTGCCTACAGAGAAGTAAAATATTGAACGAAGCGCCCCTCAAAAAAAACACAAAACCCAAAAAACCCAGTAGGATTCTTGATTGCTAGCCACACAAACCAACTTTTATTGAAGAATAACATACATACGGAAAAGTACACAATCCAAAGTGTGCAGCTCAGAGAATTTTCACAAACTGGACACACTCAGGTAACTAGCAACCAGATCGACACACGGAACATTCTAGAAGCTCCCCTTGTGCCCCTTCTGGTTCCCAGCCTCCAGAGAGCAACTAATATTCCCCACTTGCAACAGCTTGGGTTAGCTTTGCTGAGCTTTGCACCTGACATAAATGGAATCGTGTAGGATGAACGTGCCTTATGTCGTGAGCCTCACACAATGCTGTGGGGTTGAGCTATGGGATCGTTATTCCCACTGCCGCCCAGGATTTCACTGTGGGAATATACCAGATATATCCATTCGACGTGGGCATTGGAGTGCTTTCCGGCTTTGGGTTATCCTGAATAGCGCTTCTAGGAACATTCTAGTACTTTTGGTGAGCACATATACACATTTCTGTAAAGTACCAACCCAGGAGTTTTTAGATCATATGATATGTACATCCAACCCAGGCTATCTTACGGAATAAGAAATTTACTGGATGGAGCTTGGAGGCTCAGAGAATTGACAGAAAACTAGAAAGAAAGAGACGTAGGAGGATGTGGTGGGGGCAGAGGGTGAGACAGCTAACAGGGCTGAGGGCTGGAGCGGGAATGGTCTGCTCAGGGCTCTGCCGTCCCTGGACCTTGTTGGCTCTGGGCACAGAATCCCTGCAACCTGCCAGGCCTAGATGCCTCCCTGCTGGGCCACTGCTACCCCTGGACCACCGCAGCTCCCATAAAACAAATCTCAGCGTCTTCTCATTTCTGTGTCACTTGCTCCGAGCTCATAGGTCCAGGCAAAGGAGTCCAAGCAGGGGGTCCACCCAAGACAAGGAAGACTTCCCCCCTTCAGCACCCACAGTGAAAGGGAGTCCTAGTGCGTCTAGTGAGGGGTGATCTCCCCCTGTAGGAAGGGGGGTCAGATGCTGGACAGCCAGCTCGTGAACACAAAGTGACGACTGTCCACAGCAGGCGCAGCCCCTCTGGTTCGCCTCCCAGTGAGCGGCTAGTGGTGCGGGAGGGGGTCAGCCACCTGTTTGTGTACCTCGGAGCCCAAGTGCACGGTCTTGCCTTTAGGAAGGGGGCGTCGAGTTCAGGGACACTTTAGAAGGGGCCAACCACAAAGGTAAGAGAGCATCTCCTGG